TTTTTGAAAATCAGAAAGCCTAAATCATAATCGAACTATTTCAGGTATAAAATTGAGAGTTTTGAAGGAAATCAATATTCCTAGGGGGTCAAAATACAATAAACTCCATTGGTAATTTCCAATTATACAACTGCCAGGGGTTAAAAAAATTGACACCCGGCCACGGAAATCTTTAGTAAAAGGCGAAAGATTTATCTGCAATTCCTGAACCCAAGTTTTTTTTTGTTTTTCAAAAAATAGCAGCGGCAGGGAAAATGTTGCCTAATTGACTTCGACATGTCTGGGGTCAAAGGTCAGCCAGCAATAAACTTTTAGAACAAGCTGTCCGTCAAAACCCACCACTCCCTGATAAGAGCAAAGAGTGAAAAAAAACAAAAAAAAACAAAAAGGGTCAACATGGGTAGGGCTTGATATAAGGTTTTTTTTTTTTTTTCAAACCTATTTGAACAATGACTTGATGTGCTTTGTTTTGAACACCTCATGACCCAGGTGATAACAACACCACTTAGCAGATGACAATGTTTTTTCCAAATCAAAGATTACTTACCACTGAATAATTCCATGTGCAAACAATAGCCGTCTAGATCCTATAACGTCAACCGAAAAGGTCCAGAATTTTACTGATTGAAAAATTTTTGTGCATAATTGTTTTTCAGTCAGTTTCCATTATTTCATCTTGATGTCATTTTTCGGACAGCCAAATCATCAAGGATTCAGGAAAACAGTTTGGCACAGGTTTGCTTTAAGAACTTTACATTGTATGAGGTGTTTAAAATGTTACTGACGAATGGGATTTTTCACCGAATATTTCATTTACACGCCATGTTGAATTTTCCTATGACAATAACAAGGGTTTTAAAGAGCTGTGAACTATCAGATAGCAACATCAATTTCATTTTAACTGCACATTTCAAACAACTGGACCATAGTATTGATAATGTCAGATGCAGCATTTTAACGTCTTGATTTAGCTGCCAACAAAATCAAAATAAATTCTCACATTTTGGGTTTAAATAAAAAAATTTAGGCATACTTAAAGAATAATTTCTGCAAAAAGCTGTCTATAAAATTTCTATAATCCTAATCATGGTAGACAACTAGCTGAAAAAGTATCAGATTTAGTCAGTAAAATAAATCACCAACATAGACATTAAGTTATAAGGCACTTGTTCACATTAATAAATACAAAAATCCCACTCCCAACAGAGCAATGAAATCCCTGGTAACGAGTTTATATCAAGTCGTATCTTAGTTAACAAATTAGTTCTTATCTATAAACCCCTTTTGCCATGGTTATTTTTAAAGTAGTAGCATCAAAAAGTGGTCTCCAATCACTTCTCTGAAAAATCAAGTTTTCCCCTTGAATAAATCCATTCTCAATACACTGACCTTTGCTACCAATCAGATATACCTTTGTTAATCGCTGACATTTTTTTTGTTTTTGTTGTGTATCTTGTAGACAATAGTCATGATAATTATGTTTAACTTAAAAGCAATTTATGAACCATCTTTATCCACATTACTACTATAAAAATAAACTTATTAGTGCCTTCATTAATGCTATCAATACCAATGTAGCATTTGACAGTTTGAAAACTTGGCTTCCAAAACATATGATTAAAGGGTGCTCTGAAAGTAATGCTCCTTATTTATTTCTACATAATCTACAACAGATATACAGTTAGATAGAGCAAGTTTTTAGCTTATTAAAATTTTTTTAAAAAATCAGTCACCACCAGCAATGAACTGTATGCTACACTTGAAATATACATGGCTATCACTGCAACTGAAATGCTACACACAATATAGCTGTGCTTAAATCCATTCTTTGGTCTCCATAAATCTTCAGCAAGTGTCAATAGGTGCAATTTTTTCAGCATACATGAATTCAATGACATACACACCTAATTTATACTTTCATGACAAATGCCATTTTATCAGATTGCAGTTTAACAATCTGAAAACAAAAAAAAAAAAAAAAAAAAAGAAAAAAAAAGGGTTATGGGAGGAAGGTTAATTTACTGCCATACTTTCAACATAAGAAAATAGGTGGTGTTACTTCTGGAGCAAGCCATAGAATTCCATTGAAAAGTTTTGAAAATGAGATTTATTACTGCAGTAGAATCCATTGGAAAAGTTTTTAAAAGACAAAGAGAAAACAAAACTATTTTCAATTTAGCCAGGTGAAGGTTGTTTTTGGTGGCTAAATTTGACCTCACATTTTTTTTTTTATATTTGTAGCTGACAAATAATTTTTCTGTTCTGAAGTACAAATTTTTACCTTTAGATTGTTGATATAAAATCATTACTTTTGCTTATAAAAGAATTGTTTCTGATGAACTTAACTGAATTTATGATTGTTCAAAGCTGAAGACAATTGTTAGTATTATACTTTTGTTCTGATGACAATGCAATATATTCACAATCACTTTATGATCTTAAATTTGAACTTTCAAAATCTAAAAGGATTTCTGTAATGAAGTATCATTGGGCAGAGTAACCAGACCATGTAACTTCATATATAACCACATTTATTTGACTCCAAACTTTGTTAATTACTATTGGCCAAAGTGTGGACATTATATTCTCATGTGTGACATCTGAGAGACTGTTCATCTTCTCTCTAGCGTGGGTGTTTATATATCTGCCTTTAATATAGTTTTCCCACAATTGCTACTAAGATGCAGCTAGGCTGATTATGTGGACTTGTACAAAGTGGCTAAATCACCTCAGGTCACCCCTGTACATAGTTACCCTGATGGTCTGTTGCAACACTTAGTGCAAAAACTATTCTGGTATCATCTGCAGCAAGCTCTGTACATACTACACATCATTGAAATTTATCGAGTGCTTAAGAAAAGAAAAAAAAAAAAAAAAAAAGAAATAAAGAAAGAAAACAAAACAGAAAAAAAAAAAGCAAACACATTTTGGGAGGCAGATTCTTTTTTTTTTTTTTTTTTTATTCCAATTACTTTTTTTCTTTCTCTCTTGTGGTTAAATTCTGACTTTTCAGTGCAAATAACAAGTAGATGCATTTTTTTTCTTCAACACTGAAAGATTTGCAAGTCTTTCAATGCAAATGTGACAAAAAGTTCCCTAAATTTTTTTCTCTTGCACCAGAGAGACAGTTTGCTTTGTTCAAGGTAAAAATTAAAAGTAAACCTAAATGTTTGGTTTCAGAACTCTAAACAATTTAAGTCAATCATAAAAAAGTAAAAACAAAAAAAAAAAAAAATCTAATATAAAAATAAATAAATAAAACAAAAATTTGATGTGATGAAAAAAAAAAATAAAAAAAAATAAAAAATGTGATTGGTTACTTAAATTCTAAATGTCAAAATGGAGTTGGGGTGGTCAGGGACATGCCAACATTTCTCTCCAATGAAAAAAGGTTTTGCTTAATTCCTAATCCATGTTGGAATCTGTCAGTTCTGTGAGCCAAGGATGGAAGAAGGCTCTTCTTTGTCACAAGTCAAGAATTTCCAAGGGACAGCTTGATAGAATAAATTGCAAAAGCATTCTCATTGGTCAGAAATTTATTAATGGTCAAAAGGGAATGAGTGATAGGTAATTGGGTTGATTTGATGGGCTGACTCTTTACCTTCCCAATAAATACTCCAGCCCTTCTGCAGCTAAGAGCTTAGGATCAGCTATGAGAAGAAAAAGGGCAATAAAACAGGAGGACCATGTGACCCCTATCACCACCTCCCCTTCAAATCAAATCTTCACTTGGTCATAGAGCTGGCCTTAAGGTCCAAGTTCAAGGATTGTCCTACTCAATCTCTACACTGATGAAGTTGACAGTATTTAAATGGAACAACGAATATAATAACAGCAACAAGCAGACCCCAAAGCATATGGTTGCAGCCAGATATATGGGTATTAAGGAACAAAAATCTTTCTTGTCAGTTGAAAGATTTCACTAGAGATTGGGGTAGGGGTAGGAGGAAAAGAAAAATCTCCAAAGGTTTTGCCAATTGCAATGCAGCCTTGATATTATGGACGTGACTAATTACAGAAGGTTCAAACTACATTGACTTTTTCATTTCAAAGAACCCTTAATTAGCGCAAAAACAAATTTCTACATTAAATGTTGCAAGGATAAAAAGCCAAAATATTTTTGCTGACTGAATATGCAAAAAGAAAAATTAAGAAAAAAAAAATTTCTCTATTTTGATCGATGGCTCAAGGGAACAGCACTTTCCCCTTCCATTATGTGTCTTCTTTGTTTTCCGAGGTAAAGAGAGGGTCAGCGACAGAATATGTCCCCCTCCCCAATCACACAGGCTAATCTCGATAAAAGAAGATTTCAGGTTGTATACAATTAATCTTTGATTCCTCACTACCAGGCTGGCTGCTAATCATCAATGATGCCAAAGTGCCACGTTCAAAATTGGTTGCGCAATAGAATTAACCAACAAAAAATGCATCTTTTGGATGCCAGGACCGAGAAATATGGGCTGATCAGTCGTACTAAAAGCAAAAATGAAATCTTGCCCTAAATTATCTGCAAAAACATTTAGAGAACTTATGAAGTAGCAATCATTTGAATATGAAAATATTTGATGGATCGAGCAAAATGGACTTAATAGGTGCACAAAGAGATGTTTGGAAGACTGGCTGCTTTCTTCATGTACACACTAATTTCTCTTCAAAGAGAATCACAAAATAAACTTGTATTTTTCTGTTCAAATATACTTTCTGCCAGGATTTCATGGACACATGCATACAAAAAGAGACACAGGTATTGAGTCTTATAATCAACATAGAGACACATTAATATTTGGAGAGTAATTCTTCCTTAGTGACACTTGTTTTTATGGAATAAGCCCACAAAGATTTCAGATCCAGCCAATGAGAAATAAGCACCCCCACCCCCCACAAAAAAAAAAAAAAAAAAAAAAAAAAAAAAAAAAAAAAAAAAAAAAAAAAAAAAAAAAAAAAAGAAAAAAGGAAAAAAGAAAAAGAAAAAAACTAAACTAAACACATTTTTCTGATTGCTATCGTTCTCTTCGATCATAATTTCTGTCATTGCGCCTCCTTTCTCGCTCAAAATCAGGTTTCCGGTTATAATTCCGATCCCGGTTTTCATCGCTAGCCCGGAAGGTTCTCTCCCTGCGGTAGTCTTCAGCCCCTCCCCTGGTACGTTCAAGGTTTGCTCCTTCAGAAAAGGTGCGATTTTTGTCTGGATAGCCACGATTTCTTTCAGGGTAGGTGCGCTCTCTCTGTGTGTATGTTCGATCTCTTTCAGTGTATGGTGGTTCCCTCTGCCTGTAAGCAGGAGTTTCTCTTTGAGTGTAACCAGAGTCCCGTTGTTGGTATCTTGTGTCCCGCTGTACATACTCTTCTTCTCGTAAGTGTCTGTGGTTCCTGCTGGTGTGAGAGTCATCTCGTGGCAAATACCCACCACCACGAGGCGGATAGCCAGTATCACGCTGAGAATAGGCAGGTTCTCTCTGTGCATATGAAGGATCTCTGGGTGGATAGATTGGATCTCTGAGCAGACCAGTCCCTTCTCTAGGAGGATAGAGGTTCTCTCTAGGCGGATAGCCAGTACCACCATCCCTGGAGACATAAGCACCTTCACGTGCGTGATATCCAGTTTCTCGCCGAATGTATGCATTCTCTCTTCCACGATAATTTTCTTCCCTGGCTGGGAAGCGCGAACCCCTGTTGGGGTCCCTCAAATCTTCCCTGAATGCTGGCTGATCATAGTCTCTATATTCTGCCTTTCCCCTGGGAGGAGATCGTGGCCGGTCTGTGTAAGGAGAGCGTCGTCCACCTTCTGCAAACCTTGCACCGCGAGCCGTGCCTGGACGATTAGTGTTGTTTCGGCTATATTCTCTTCTGGCATCAAAACGCTCTTCTACTGAACGAACACGATTACTTGGCTCTGGGTAGGAAGATGGCAGGACAGGTTGACGGAGTTTGGCCTCATACTTTTCACTGATGTCATTGTATTTTCTCTTGGAGCCTGCAAGATCTAGAGTCGAAGAGGAAGAGGAGGAGTTGGTGGGACGACGGGAAGAAGGCACATGCTGGGAATACTTGTCATAGGTTGAGGGTTCTTCCTTCAGTCTGGAGGGTAGGTCTGTATCTGTGGACCCACGACGTCCAGGGCTGGAGGAGTCAGAGTCACTGCTAGAGGAAGAGGATGAAGACGAGGAACCACCTTTTCGAGAGTCTTTCTTCTTTTTGCGCTTTTTAGGTTTTCTTCTTTTCATCTTTTTCTCAAGTTTTTCTGGAACAACAAAAACAACATAGATAAAAATTTTTTGGCACACTGATATTACAATGGATCATTTATTCTAACTGGGGGGGGAAAAGAAAGAAAACAAAGAAAATTTTTTTTTTTTACCCTTCTTGAGTTTTTTTGGTGGAGAAGGTGGGGAATCTTTAACTTCCCCTTCTTCTGAAGATGAAGATTCTGGTACTTGAGGAGCACACCCTTCAGCCCGAAGTTCCTTCACTATTTCATCTTCATCACCTGTTTCCTTGGGAGGTCGATAGTTGGCTGCATGATCAACCCTGATTGTACGGTTTAAAATCTAAAAAAGAAGAAGAAAAAAAAGAAGCATTTAATGTGTTTTTATTCAACACCCAACCACTAATCAAGTGAAAATGTTAGGAAAAGGTGTAACAATATTCTTAGTCTAGATGACGTCAGTCTTGTTTTTATTGAGAAAATTTCATCGCAAGCAAAAATGGCAGAAAAGTGAGGCCTGGTTTATGGCATATCAACATCAGTGGATTATTTAATGCCGACAATTTTTATTGCTGGTAATATTTTTTTTCCTTCAAAAATCTATTTCTGGTAATATTTTTCTTCAAAATGTATCGTTGGGAATATTATAAAAATAGCAATAATTTTTTGCACAGTATTTCTGGTATTAAAACCTATTTTCACACTTTCATAGTATTTCGACTCCAGTTTGGGGGTTAACTGTTTGCCCATATTTGGGACCCTGACAGGTGCTAGCACCCTGGGTCAGGGTAGACCTGGGAAAACCAGCAATTAAGAGGTGATTCCACGCTCTTCAAAACCTCCTAATCAGAGGCCTTGCTGTCGGACGTACCTTATCGTCATTACTACAGGATGGAACAAGATGTGCTAATCTCTATTGAGAATTTATTCAATTCTTCAGTCACAAAAGTTCAAAATCAATAAAGTTGTCCAAAATCTTTACAACAGGTGGCAGCATCAAATCACAACAATCAGTCACCAAGTTCAATCAAAATCAAATTCATTTCATAAAAGAAAACCTTTTAGATTTGTTTCTTCAAATAAGTTGCCCATTAATGAAAGTAGCAAGTTGGTCAAATTTGTAAAAGAAAGAATAATGGATACATTCAGATTCTTACCTTGATTCCATTAAGATTATCCACTGCCAGAACAGTGCTTCTTTGATCTTCGTAGCAGACAAAAGCATAACCCAGAGATTTACCAGTCTTTTTGTCTCTTGTCAAATTAATGTTCACTATTTCTCCGTATCTAAAAATGGAAAAAAGGGAAAATAATCGAAAAAGAAAAAAAAAGGAAAAGAAATCCAATTAAAAAGCAACAAAACAGATTTAAAATAATAGCATTGCTAAAATAAAAAACTTCAAATGAAAGCCAGACAAAAAGATCTCAAAAAATGAATTAAGAAAAGCATTCAACTGAAAAACGGCAAAAGAAAAAGACCTTCAACATCTATATGGGTCACATACTGCCAAACATCATCCATTGGCCAATTTTTACAAATTATTTTAAGAGAACAAATTTTTCTATGTCTAAAATTGCTCAATATTATATCTGTCCCTCATAATATTTAAGATTACAAGGAGAGTTGAAACAAATAATACTGTCTTTTTGTTATTTATGTTTGGAAAAAATTGAATTGACAAATGGCTTAAGAGTAAAAAGAAGATCTGGATTCTATCGAATGCGAATTACCTGGTTTGATTTAAGAAAAAAAAACAAAAAAAAAACGAAAGACATTTTAATTTGAAGCCAGGCGCAAGAGTTTTCTTTTGAGAATTCATTACAAGATTGTATTGTATTCAGAGAGAAGTAGGCTAAAGAAAAGCCATAAATGTACAACATTTTAAGAGTGTACCCACCCCCAAGCTGCCACAATTAATCTAATTAAAAAGGGAGCATCTGCCACATTGGATGAAGATTACAAAATGTACAGAGTATCATTTGGAATGAGAACTTGATCTCTTAAAAACACAAATTAACCTGCAAGTAAAAAGAAAATTACCAAATCTGGTCTCCAGTTAAATGGTAGTAGAAAGAATTTTTGGTAGTCATTTAAAAAAAAAAAAAAAAAAAAAAAAAAAGATTTCATTTGAATAATCCCTAAAATGCTTCATGTTGTCAACATCAGAAGAGAACAATTTATTCACCACTTTGTTCCCTGCTCTCCCATCATATAAAAACATAAATGGCCAACATTGCCAGAATGAAATGCATCTTCAGCGTTTTTTCTTTACTGTTTCAGCCAAGATATTTTGAAGGTCTGCATTGTACCAGACACAATTTTGTTTACCATTTTCATAGCCAAACAGCAAACGTTCAAGCAGACAGATTGTCTAATCAGCATGAAAATATGAAAGAGAAAGAGCCTGGGAAAAGTAATTTTAGGTGTTGTACATATGGAAAGCCTTCACCACAGTATAAATCTTAAAATCTACAGGAAATTATTTCCCTCTCTCCCTGACCAAACGTATTTTTACAGGTGTTTATATTATATATATATATATATATATATATATATATTGAAAGAAAGCCAATAGGAAACAAATGGAATAAAAAAAACAATGTATTAGTAGAGTGACCTCCCCACCCAATGATATTCCATTCTTATGGTAACATGGAACTTATTATTGGTGTATAGTAATGCCTGTTATACAAAATATTTTATTACTAAGAATAGAAAGGTGTATGCCAGACTGATATCTCATTGTGTTTTATATTCTAGATATGACCACAGACTTGTTATTTTGAATCACGGAGAAAAATTTAAATAATTTACATAAAATTTACAACCTTTAAAATAAAGAATTAGAGAAAAAATTTTTTTTTTTTTTTTTTTAACTACTATTTAGTCATATAATTGGAAACACATGTACAAAATCAATTGGTGAATGTTCTTATTTACAATTTAGATTTCGGAGAATGTTAGTTGCCAATTTGGGTCAAATATTCACTGAAGAAAATCTACCAAAGAAAAAAATGAATTTAAGAAAACAATTCTTTTATTTTTTTTTTTTTTTTTTTTTTTAGTTATCTATTAAAATAGTATTTTGTTTTTTTTTAAAAAAAAAAAAAAAAAAAAAAAATTACTGGTCATATTTTATGTAACTCATTGCCTCACTTAATTTTAGATTTAAAATACCAATCTGAACCTAAACGGCATTTATATTGCAGCAAGATAAATCACTAATTTTAAATTTAAATTTTTTTCTGAAATTAATCAGCTGAGTCTGATAATCTGTTCAATATAAATTAAAGAATTGAATTTTTTTAAACAACTTTAAATTTTATATTTAAAAAATATAAAATTATGGTATATAAAAAGAAAAAAAAAAAAATTAATTTTGAAAGAATTTACTTGATTTCATTTTTATGTTACTCTGAAAGACAGGAAATGTTTTTGTACACAAGAAAAGTTGGGTTTAATAGTTGAAAAATGTTGATTTAGCTAAAATAACTTATCTTTAGAAGACTTTTCAGTCATATTTTGTTAACTAAATGCATGATATGGAATCTGCTTTCTTACAAAACACGATTTACAAAAACAAAAACTGTCAACAAAGATCATCTTCACTGAAGAGGCAGATTAGGGAACCAAAACTTCACTGTCATGAGAGATCAATTAATGATTTTTCTACTTTTTGCTTACAAAACAAACAAATCAAAAGTAAAATACTGGATTGGTGTATATTATTTTTTTTGTTTCTGTCAGTAATTTGTGTTGACCTATTCTTCACTTGAATTATTCAATTAGAATAAAATAAGCCAACTTACAATGATTTTCAGGCCAGAAAATACAGAGGGCAAATGAGTGGGCAGTGTTTTTTTTTGGGGGGGGGGTCTTTCTCTCTTCAAGTGATATATATTTATAGCAGATGGAATCTCTGGAATGGCTTCCTCAATATTGAATTAACAGTGTAAAAATTATTTTATCTATGCAAAATTATTTTTCTTTAAACTTTTTTAACTGACCCCAAAACAACTTTAGTTGCCCTGATAATTGTTTTCAAAAAACGTCCCAAAATCAAAAAGAGTGTTTTCTTTTTTAAAACTTTCATTTGGATAATGATTAGGGAGGAGGTGGGGGGTGGGGGGACCAGCAAGTAGAGTTTAAATTCCAGGTTAGCCTGTTGTGCTCACTTTTGCACAAATAAGAAAAGCAGGAATCTGTTTTCACCCCACTCCCAGCTATGGCCCACAGTAGACCAGTTTTTTTATAGCCTTGGTGCCAAGACAAGAAAAACTTACAAATTTGAAACCCTGAAGATAGCAGGTAACTACTTCGCTATCTTTTGACATGGCAATTCATATATAATAATGAAAAATCTGAAGTGTCATGACCAGCCACGTCCAGAAGGGACATGGCATTAGAAGAATTATTTACAACTGATAATAGCATTATAAAAATACTATTAAAATGTTTAAAAAATTAAATTTTGACATATCTAATCTTTAAACTATGGCCTCTGTCCACTACAGCTACTACTTGGTCACAGCTTTCCACATTTATTGGTGAGCAGGAGGACTGTGAACAAAGATTTGCAGGAGGCAATTAAGCATTTCATTTAAAAGTAACACTTCCAATTTTAGGATTTATTGTCAGTTTAGGTACAATAAAAAAAATCAAAAAAAAATCAAATCCTATAAGAAAATTAACTAGTTTGTAGTTATTCATTTAAAAATTTAATATTTTAACTTGAAGAAAAGTGTGTAGTGGTGGGGAAACAAAATTTCCAAAAAATGTGTTTTTAACACAAGTAGTACAGGTTGTAACAAAAATTAAAAAAGATAAAATATTAAAGTTTTAAATATAAATATTCACAAAAGCAAATTAATTAAATTTTACTGCATATCATAACTTTAAAAATTTTAAATCACCTTGAATAATTTTACATGAAAATGTTTTTGTTAATTTTCATACACAGATCAACTTTTATATTTTAAGAATTGTGCTCTCTGCATTCATCTTCTATAGAAAGATTTCCAAATATTCACAATTTAAAAAAAAAAAAAAAAAATCTAACAAAAACTTTCCATTTGCAATTACCTGCCTGGTGTCATGACTAAATTTTCTTAATTTTTAAATTCTTTTTATCCTGAATTTAGTTTATGATAAGCAGGAAACACAAATGTTGTTAAAAGATTTTAACCAAAAATTGAAAGAAAAAACAATTTTCTTGCTTTGTTTATTAAAACAAAATTTGTTTTTATAATTACATCCTAATGTTTTTTATATTTAATGATAAATAATCCAAATATATAAACAAGTCCTTTCACCATTTTTCATTCACCAGCTTAAAAGGAAGCATTTAAGTTTTGTTTAGATTATGTTTTGCACATGCTCCACTCATTAAAAGCCCACGACTATGGGCGAGATGTTTTTAGAATAAATATAATAAAATCCTAATTAGAATTTTTGTACGGTCCCAAATTCATGTTAATCATGAGTTGAGGGAAACACAACAGCTCCTTATTTTATTAGTATACTATTTTATTAGTGTCTACTTTCTTGGATGTGAATGCAGGAAAGTGACAAGAGAAAAGATAAAAATGTTTCTACCCACTAATAGGTGAGAGGGGTGCATGAGTGTGTGCAAGGGAGGGGGCAATTTGGTAAATCAAAGAATGAAGTATCAGCAATTGCAAGCACCCAACTTTTTCTTTGTGTGTGTGTGGTACATTTCTGTAAAAAATGCAACCATAAAGGAACTTCAGAGAAAATTCTTGAGCAAATGGTAAGCTGAAGAAATACTAGAATTATGATTCTGAAATTGATTCAAATATAATCCAAGAATTAAACTACTTTGACAAAAAGCTCAGAATTGAATTTAAGCAAGGCTGATACATCCCATGATGCTTTGTCAGAAAATGAAAACCTGCAGATTTTTTTTTCTTCATGTTTTTCATATACAGCAACCCCCTCCCCCACAAAAAAAACAAACAAAAAACATTTCAAATAAAGTTGATAAATTCTAAGGGAAAGTTTTAGTGACAAAAACTCTAAAAAGTAACAAATTAAAGAAAAAAGAAATGCACCCACAAAAGGTAATTTGAATTGTAAGAGACAGAGGATTTCTTTTCAAATCTACCAACATTTAGACAATTTTAACTAAGAAGCACAGACATGGCTTTCTTTTGCATAGGCACCTTTGATATCACATGCATTAGGAGATGTATTTGGGATAACGAAATTGGAAAATGGTAGACTTGTAAAGAATTAAGAATGTTCAGTGCACAATAGATCATGTTAG